TTATTAGGTATATATTTAATTTAGTAAAACAAAAATACTTAGTTATTTATTTTAAATATTTTTATTTAATAATAATTAATTATTTTCTTAATTAATTTTTTTAAATGATTATATTTAATTTAATTAATTAAATTTGCCTATCAAGTAGGGCTGGAAATGAGTCGAGTCGAGTCGAACTCACCTCAGCTCGGCTCGACTCGTTAGAATTAGTTCGAATTCGAGTTCAAGTTCGAGTTCGACACGAACTTTTTTTTAAGCTCAAACTCGATTCGTTATAAGTTCACGAACAATTCAGTTCAACTCGTTAGGTTCATCTCATTAGGTTCAGCTCACATGATTCACGGACTTAAAAACTATTATATATATATATATATATATATATATATATATATATATATATATATATATATATATATATATATATATATATATATATATATATATATATATATATATATATATATATATATATATATATATATATATATATATATATATATATATATATATATATATATATATATATATATATATATATATATATATATATATTAGTATATTTGATATTTTAAATAAATATATTTTTTTAAAATAAAATAAAAGTTATCATATTGAAATTTAACTTTATCTTCGAAATCTACTAATTCAAAACCTACACAACTTTCAAGAGATACATTTGAGAGTCTAATTCAAAAACTACTAAATTGAAGATTAAATTTGTCTAAGATTTGGAGTAAATATTTAAACCTAATCTTAAAGACGGTATAATTCTTCTCATATGTAATCGAGTTGACTCATGAACCTAACGAGTCGAACTATGTATAGTTCAAGTTCAGCTCATTTAGTTAACGAACTTAATTTTTCGCTCATACTCAACTCATTTGGTTCATGAACCTAGTTCAACGATTTAGTTGTCGAATCGAATTCCGAACTATTTTCGAGTTGGTTCGGTTCATTGCCAGCCCTACTATCAAGTCTAAAACCCAAAATATTTCATTTTAATTTTTTTTTAATTTTTAATTTTGATTAACTTGTAATTTTAATTATTATATTTATTAACTAGTATGATTATATAAACTTAATTAGTTTTTCTTAATTCTAGAAACCTAAAAATACTTTTTGATCATGAATTCTTAATTTTTCATCCATCAATTCCTTATTAGTTTTATTAAATATTTTTATTTAATATTAATTAGCTTTAATGGTTAATTTTATTAAATATTGAAGTTTAATTTAATTAATTACTTAAGTTATTACTTATTTTTACTTATATCCAAAAATACTAATCTCTTGAATTATCTTTTAATATTAGTTAATTAGTTTACTAATTAGTTTTAGATATCTAATTCGCTCAATCTGCTTAATATAATTGACCTATTTGCACTTTTACCTCGTTCATGATTGGTTATGTGGTACATATATTTTGTTCATGTATATTTTATCATGCCTTAAATTATGTTCATGCCATTCCATACTTGTTTATTCAAACCTCATTTTTAAACTAATATCTTGATTTTCAAATCAAGCCATTTTTAAACACCTTGTAAGTCGATTGTTTTCACGATCACCATCAACCTTATAGCCTCCTCTTGGGCTTTGTACAACAACGCTTGTTACACACTTCACATGCATGGTTGCTTGAATGATTGCTTAAATCAATTCTCTTCAAAGAAACAAATGAATTTGATCCAATGTCAAGTGTTTCCCAAACAAAGGCAATTAACCACTAACTTCTCAAGCACAGTTGATCCACATATCAAGTCCTCTTACCTCTTTGTAAGTCGAATGTTTTTGCCTCACCATCGACCTTACCTTATACCACTAGGATCTCCTTTCCATTAGTTCAACCTTATTCGTTTCATACGCAAATACAAACCTCGATTCATGTCAAGCCCTTTATTAAAGAAAACTTAATATACTTAAATAAAATTTCAATAAAAAGATGAAAAGGGAGTTGGAATGGAATCTTCGATTCCTCTTCTCGATTGTTTAGGCCCGATGAGCCTTTCTTAAGTTCAAACAATTGTCTTCTCTGAAAAAACTTTACAACTTAACTCTACATCAAACTATTTTTATAATACACGAACTCAAAACCTATTTTTCTAATTCTTAACTCTACATCAAACAATTGTCTTCTCTGAAAAAACTTTACAACTTATTTCTACATCAAACAATTGTCTTCTCTGAAAATGTTTATTGTGCAAACATGTTACTTGAGGACAAACAATAGTTCAAGTTTGGGGTTGTGATGACAATCGTTATTACGCAATTTTAATGAGAAAATTCAGATGAATTTGGAAGAATATTGATCAAAAGAAAATTCAAAGTATGAAGAAATAAGAAAAAAATCTAATACAAAGAAGAAACAAACACTTTGTGAAATTTGTGAAGAAAAAGGAAGAAAAACATGTGATTTGCCACTAGATTTCTCGTGCCCGCGATGCATCTCGTCATGGAGCGATACTGACATGTCGTGGCGCGATACAACTTTTTTAGCTGACACACTTTTTATATTTAAAGCATCTTTTGACCACTTTTTCAAGGGTTCTAAATCCCAAGACTAAGAGTGATGGAAAAAGACAATGTTAGGTGCTCTTTGATGTCATTGGAGACCATTTTCTTCAATGATTATTCATGTACTCTGAATATAAACTCATGGTATATCTATTTTACACTATTAGTAGCTAGATTTCTTCTAGATTTGGTCTTTTTGTATGATGAACCTATTTTATTCTATTAGGACTTATGAGTGATTGATGTTAATGTTATTACTTTGACATATTGTTATTATTCAATTATCACTTATGTTTATTGCCTATTGTACATTACGATGCATAATTTGATCTAGGTAAGTAGTGACATATTGACTGTAGGGTTGTTTATCCAAAATAGGATAACTGTTCGCTTCTCTAATTAACTAGGGATATTTTAATTAGGAATTGTGACTTAGGGATTAACGTCTTTTAGTGTCTCGTCTAAAGTTTCATTTGGCCTAAGGGATTGGGGAATTGACGCCTAGACTAGTGAGCTGCACACCAAGGGATCAAGTGGAGTGGTATGGTTAATATTTCGTGTAACTCTTATGTGTCTACATGTCTATTAATGCACATTTCATCAATATAATAGAAGTAAGGGGATTCTAACGAAAATACCTAATCACCTTTATCACCGTATCTTTTCTAAAGTTATTTTTCTCTTGTTTTCACATCAAACAAAGCTCCCCCTTTTGGTTATGTTAACTCGCACCTGTTTTCCTTGTTAAAATACAATCCTCATGGTTACAGAACTTATTTTATTACATCGATACATACTAGTACACTTGCTAGTTTTGTCATCAGCAACTATCTAATATTAGATACTAGGGTTGCTCAAATATCTTTCAAGAACTCCTACAATGAATACTAAAGTGAGAGAAATATAAAATTGAACCTACATAAGACTCTCCACAGCTGAAGTGTAATGAACCTTATGTATCTCTTCCTTTTCAAGATACATAGTAGGGCCTTGTTTTAGATTAAACTTGTCCCCTTTAGCAACGATTGTATCTCGTTGTTTACCTTGTTTCATGTAAAATCTATCCAAAATTGTATCAATATAGCTCCTATACGACATTGCTAAGAAATTTCTAAGCATTTGAATTGTTAAGACAAAGAAGGTGCCCTAAAGATCTTTCATCTCAAAATTATTTGTAAGAAATCTCCTGTTTCGTGCAATAAGCATATATTAGTGATTTTCAAAAGGATATCATCTACTAATAATACCAAGAAAACAAAATTACTCCCACTAAACTTTTTGATATACACAAATAAAAGTGAGAAAATAATCATTCTTTTCATGTCATGCGGGCTGCGGCGTACTTGGGACAATTATTCTTCATATGTCCAACCTTTTTGTAGAAGAGACAAGTTGGCTCCTTAGGTTGTTTATTTGCCTTCTTGTTTTGAGAAATTTTTTTAGCATGCTTATTCCTTTTATTTTGAGAGCTAACAGTCAAATGGGTACTTTCAGTCTTCTTTATCTTCATCATTTTTTTTCTTTTGCATACAGTAAGATATAAGCTAATTGAAGGAGCATTTGTCATTATGAATATCGTAAGTCACTTTAAATTGCATAAAGTGTGTCGCGAGAGATTTCAAATCTCAGGAAGGTCTAACTTAAGAGCCTTGAGTTTTGATGTGAGATTAGATATCTTCATGATATAATCTCTTATGTTTTGTTTACCTTTATAACTCATTGAAATGAGCTTGAACAAGGTACAACTTGTCTCAGCCTTATCATTTTAGAAAAGAATTGCTCCACAGCTTCGAGGAACATCTCGACGTTTTTACTTTCATCAATCAAACCTCAAATCATTTTAGGTATGGATCTTTTGATCATCATGAGTCATATCCAGCTAGATCAGTACCATTTTTCTATTTTAGTTTCATTTGCATTAGGGATGAGTCTCCATGCATTCAAGAATGATCGCCAGAGATTCTTTCCCTGATTTGAAGTTCATCTCACTTACTATAGGAATAGAGTTAATCTAAGTAGCAAAATTTGGACATACAATAACTATAAACATACATTAATATTAATAGACATGTCAAATAACCATAGACATGTAAAATGTTATGTATTTACAAATTAAATATGACCTAGACAAGATATAAAAAAATACCATAAAAACTCATTCGGTGGAAAAATAATACTAAATTTAACACCGATTAAAAAAATTGTCACATTTCTATATGAACAACTGAAAAATCAAGTTAAAGCAATCACACATGATGCAATCTTGAATTGTAAGACCACCTCTGGTCTTTTTAATGTGAAAACAAAAACTTGTTGAGTTAATGGAAGAAAATCAAAATAAGAAGGTAGCAGTAATTCAGTAATTGATCATAAACTCAAAACCTAAATATTTATTCAAATACATATCAATATAAAGTTCAAGTGTATGTTAGTGTATTGCAGTCATATAATGGAAATCTAAAATGAGTATGTATAGTCATTTATGACTAAATTATTAACTTAAAATTTAATCTTCTAAGCCAAACAGAGTGAAGTATCATATGTATCAAATCAAATGGCTTTGCAGGTCTATTCATCTCAAAATGCTTTCTCACACGTCTCACATTTGAATACAACAATCTATACTTATCTTCTGTAACATTCTGTAAAATAATCTTAATTTCTGGTATTCTACCAACTTCAATTTCCATAGAAAATTGGCTCCAATTAAGCACATCACTAAAAGGCAAAGAGTAATTCTCACAAATTATCACAGGCACACACCCTGCATAAATTGCTTCCACCACTCTTGGACTTGCCACTTCATGTCCACTAGGACACAAACAGAACTTGCTTAGGCCCATCAACTTTGTATAGTCTTTACCTTTTGGAAGATACTCATTCACTTGAACCTCTTGATCCTTTTCCTTCCATTGCTTCAACAATTTCTTTCTAATCTTGCCGTGTGCCCCGCCAGCGAAAAAAGCTAATATCGTTCGATTCTCGGGTTGCTGAGAAGTCTTAGGCTGGCTGAGCTTTCCGACAGGTAAATTCAATTGAGGGATGGATACGTCTCTGTTAGGCCGAAATCCTTCTGAAGTGTTGGCATTGCAGAGTGCTCGAATGAAGTACTTGAAGAGTTTAGCATTAGCATCAGAAACTCTTGGTCCCTGTAAAATGATAACAGATGACTCAGCGGATCTTAATTTCTTAATTTTAAACCGGACTCTGATACCATATTAGAGTTAGACTGTGAAAGATGAAAGTGTGAACTTAACTTACCCAATCATGGCATGAAAGAAGAAAATGGTCAGCACCTTGGCTTCTATTCCAATAAGGATACTTATTTGCAACAATGTTGATATAATCTTCGACCAAAACCTGTAATCGTTGAGGATCATAATCTAATCTCGATCGTCGAGGTTTGTAAACATAGCGAATGACCTTAGATACACTGAAGGGAAGAAAGAAGACATGGGCCTGATCAGGATGAGTAGCTTTGAATGGACTTTTGTTACTTGTGTCCATTTCATCAATGAATTGGCCTTCTATGGAGTATTTGTTGTTTACAGGTCCATCATGCACCAATGGTTGTTCTCCTTCGTTGTACACCCATATCTTGAATCTCTTCACCATTTCTATGTGGCTTCTGTTTTAGGGAGAAACATAATTAGTTTTCTGTAAATAGCAACTACTAGTCTATGAAGCACTGACACAGACGAAGAACGCACACGACACTGATACACAGACACTAATAACAATTTGAACAAATGAAAAATTGTTATAGTTGTATTTAACTGGTGAAAAGTATGTGGATTCAAGTAAATGGATCCTTTTGGGACAAAACTCTGTTTGATGGTGCTTGTGTATTTCTTGGATCGAACTGCTTGATGAATCGATGCTCGTGCTTGTGCTAAACCTTGTTCAATCTTTTGCAAACTAGTTTTATTCTTTCTTCCATGGCCAACCTGAAAACAGAAAAGTTCAAAAAACATGTTAGAATAATGAGAAGTTGAGCTCGAAGATTGAATGTTAGTGAATAATAAATACCTTAATCCATGGTTGAATTGTATTATTAGTGTAGCTTCCATTATTTGAAGAGATCAAGAGAAATTCATGAGGTGATTTCTCTTGTGGCAAGGAAGTTGAATGAATATGATGAATCTTATGATCTTCATTTGAAGGAGTGAAAAAAACAAGGAAGAAGTTGAGGAAGAATAGTAGAAAGATCCAAGTGGATACTGAAGATTTGAAAACTTTCATTACTTTGATTCAAAAGTAGAACAAGATGCCTCGGCATCACCAACCACTTTGTATAAAATAACATGAGTTGTTATAATGATATTTTATTGATAGTTGAGGACTTGACTTAATACTCCAAATAAGTAAAAGTTTTACGGTGATAGTATTGTATTGAGGCACGAGATGAAGATCAAATTAAAGATGGAACCATAAAGGTAGAGTTAGACACTTGTTTACATAACTCTAACAAATAATCTTATCTTATATGATGCGTCTTCTAGGCCCACCTATTTAGATGCTCACTGAGCATGTCCAAGCTGGGACCCACCAAATGAAATTAAGCATCTATCGTATTAAACTTTGGAAAAAGAACAGTTTACTAGTTAATAATATTGACAGACGTTACTAATGGACACTAGTAGTTAGTTAATCATATGATAGCTATGGCCACTCACTAATCTAACAGGTAAAACTTTAGTTAGGCCCATGGGCCTCGATTGCACTATGATTGTTAATTCAATGAGAACTTCTTCCTGCATCTATATACTTCTAACACATCATGAGAATTTTTACATAAGTTTTCTGATTTTGAAGATACATCTTCAGACGTATTTAATTTTTAAATAAATGTTGATATATTTTGGAGATATATATCCGAAACAATTTTAAATATTCAGAACACGTCGCTCATATCCCATTTAAATTTGAATTGTTCTGCAGATCCATCTCCGGTAATATTCTAAATATACATCTCCAAAGTGTTTCAGAACATATTTTTTTTATAACGAGTCATGTATTTGTTTTCAGATAAAGTATGAAGCACAAAAAACAAACGTACACAATAATAAAATACTCTATTGTGTATGTCAAAAATAATATAGCAATAAAATAGTAAAATGTCGTACAACACGGGATCCAAAATGTAGTAACAATATCAGAAATAAAGTATAAACTATAACACTACATCAAAATAATAATAAGCTACTATTGGGTATGCTTGACAACCTCTCCTCTACCTCCTCTGTCTGGTCTGTCTCCTCACCCATCTATCCCTCCGTCCTCCTACAATGTCTCTGGTACAACAGTGCCCCTGTACCTCCGCCACCATGGCATCCAGGACTCGCCTGACATCAGACCCCTCAGGGAAGATACTCTCGTCGATGCTTGCCCGCACAATCTCCACTATGCAACGACACCTAGGTAAGATATCCTCAATGTGGTCTATCTAAGTCTATTCCTCTTCCAGTACCTCCTAATGAGCTGGTCTTGACGAATCTCCTAGTGCATTCTGGACCATGTAAGGATGTGACACCCCGAAGAACCACCTGATGTACCCCCTCGATGTAGCTCCAGTCATTCGGCGCTTTGGTAGCCCGTGCCTCCTCCGAAACCAGGTCACTCTCGTAATCAACAAACATCTCCTCTATCTGTCTACGAGACAAGACCTGAGGAGTAGAGACAACAGGGTGTCTGAGGATGGTCTGGGTGTACCTAAACTGCCGCATGACGCACTCGAGCAGACGAGGAGCAGTGATACGCGATCCGCAGACGAGCCATCCAGAGTGTAGTGTTATGTCATCAAATAGCTGCGTCTGACGATGACCAATGTAGCTGTTGAAGTGGATGTCCTCAACAACCAAACTATCAAGGTAGACTCTAAAAGACTTGACTGTTTGGTTCCTTCTGAGCAGAATAAAATCACGCGCACAGGGCATGTCCTCAATGTACTCAGGCACACTAGCCCAGCCAGCGATGTGCGGAAAGTGCTAAAGGATCCAACCCTGAAATGAAATTTAAAAAAAAAACATTCAAGGGTAAAAAATCATCGGAAATATCAAATGTAATGACAAAGGATTAAGAATTATTATCACCAATAGTGTCACGCTGTCGATGACTTGCTTCGTCTTCCACCGACAACCCTATCTCAACTCCGAATATATATAGGCCAAGGAACTCTAGAACCTACTGGCTCCGCTCCCGCCGAACGAATGCATGCTAGGAAACTCGGTCATATCTCAGTCCGTCGACTCTGTCAGCCATTATGCATGTAAGGTAAATTATGGTGTATCTTATGTGCAGGCAGACAACACAAACAAACAAGAAAATTAAAAAAAAGACAGATTGTAGGATATTCCAGAGATATATCTCCGAAAACACCATAAAATATTACATTGAGTAATTTCGTAGATGCATCTCCGAAATATCCAAAATTATATGAAACGCTGAACTATTCCAGAGATATATCTCTGGAAAGTTCTGCAACTCAAATGTCGGCTTAATGTGGCTCTTCCAAATTGAAAAAACATGACCTAATTTCGATTTTGAGCATACAAACAACTCATATACTAAGTCTAAACTATGTTACATGCGATTCCTACACATTTCTAACCCTAATAATTGATTTCTACACATTTACACAAAAATTAAAAATTTATCCAAAAAAACTCAAAAAACTCACCAAAAATATATGGTTTTGATGATGTTGAATGTTATTATGGTGATGTTTGATGTTCCTCTAAGCCTTGTTTGTTGAAATTATATGTTGTGTAGAAGTTAAAATTCTATGTTGAGAGAAAAGTTTGAGAAGCGTGAGGGAGGAGAAGAGTTTGACACGTTTTAAGCTCCAAATTGTTCCGAAGATATATCTCTGGAATATTCTAATATTTAATGAACTTTGGATGCGTCTGAAGATATATCTGGGAAATCAGTGGGCATTTTTGGAATTTCAGATGGTACGGTAGAAATACATAAGGTGGAAAAAGAAATCATCAATTCAATAAAGAGGGTTGCTCTTTAAATTCTATAGGGTGTTTTGTCACCATTGTGAAAATTCATAAATGTTTCAAGCGTTCGGAGATTCATATTCAAATGCAACATTTTTAAGACATTCTTCAGTTTAAATTGCTGAGATACTCTTATATTGTTAAAATTTATTCTGAAGATGTATTTCCGTATCAACATTAGGATGAGTCCAGATATGCATCTCCGTATCAACCCATAATTCAATATTCAGTTTGTTTTCAAGAGATGCATCTCCAGAATATGCTATGTTAGGTCAACCTAAAAAAAAACCCGAAACAATTGTGAAATGTTAAAAAAATAACACAAATTAATATTCAAATACTTAACATTACATAGATAATCGTTAACATAAATTTAGCATTACATTTTATTACAAACAGGTAGTTCAGAACATTGCAACATCTTTAGAATATCTTCAGTCGATTTTGCAATTGTCGCATCCACTTCAATCAGAACTTTTTGTTGAGTAATGGTAAAATGTACTCCACATAACCTTTAAATCCTCGTCCATCTTTAGTTCAGACTTGGTGAATTGTATCTTCCCTTTACCGTCAATCGAGGATGAACGATACTCGAGTTTGACAACTATTCGATTTATGGATATCGCAGGAGAGTATTTAGTTTAAATTTCATATCTATGAGAGGTATATCCTCGGAGACCCTAAATTGATGTGGGTTTTTGCACCATTGAAATACACAAAACCAAGATGGAGATATATATTCATTCTGGTTTGTTTTGTTTTTATAAAGAATATGGAATGAGAAAATCCTATTTATATAAGTTTTAGATCAATTGGGATCTTAGCAACAACATTCTTTCATCTGGGCATATTTTAGATATACATATCCTAACACGCCTTATTTTTTACAAAATAAGGGTGTTTACAGAGATGCACATTCATAAAATCCCCAAAAAAAAAAATCTTACAATTAAAATAGGGATTGTCCAGAGATACATATCTGGACTCACCCAAAGCATTATTTAGACATACTAGTATATTATGTGGAACAAGTATATTTTTTTAACATAAAGTTTGTCCAAAACTTACCCCAAAATTCTATAACATTAAAGTAGAATACACATTAAGTATGTCTCAAATTGTATCGAGAATACATTATTGATAATATTACATACAAAAAACGAGTTACATTGTTAGACAAAAACTAAAATTTATGAACATGTGTCACTACCTAAATCTATTGGTGGATCCTTCTTCGACATTTCCTTATTTTATTCTCTTTCAATGTCACTCAACTTGGTGAACTCTTTCATCCTTTCTAGAAAGTGATCCGGAAAAGTTTTATCATGTTTTATGAAATGTGTCGTCCATTCCAGTGATCTCTTTGGTATAGAACATACCGATTTCAGATAAATTTGAACAAAATTTTGTGTTTATGAAAGTCACCTAATACACATGATGTGTCTAGATGGATGTTGAGGTGGCCTACTCCTAAGTAGAAAAAATGGTTTTGAGAAACTGTATCTTGTCAGATCAATACACACTCTATCATAAGCACATGCTATAAGATGTCCTATTTTGGGGAAGCACATCCACTTTTCAAACTTACACAAGGAACAAGAGCATTGAGATTTGCATCATAATTTTCTTTTTTACTGTATAGCGTGTATGATTCCTTATTTGTTGTCAACTTTTGTATAAGGTTGATGGTGGAGGAGATGGTTTGCTAATGCGAGCATCCTTGGAAACACTTATTTGAGATTTTGGAGTTGGAGAGTCCAAAAATGTGAGTCAACATGTTCAAAGTATGAAGGAGATTATCTTGTAGAGTTGCCATTATGTGTCGATTTGACCTTTTTAGTGGCACGTTTTATTTTAACTGGTTCCGACAGTGGTCTCAAATATGTTATTTCTGGATAGGCAATTTTCCTCATATGCTCTTTGATGTGCAATTTCATGATGTTATTAGCTTTCAAAAATTGCTCTTGGATTACTTCTCATTCGATCATAATAGTTATACTTGATTTATTATCCTTCATCACACCATCATCATCAAACTGAAGCCTTTTCAAGTAAGTATAAACTTCATCCATACATATCGTTTTATCAAGCTTCATCTTCTTGGAAACTAAACAAGCACATGGAAGACTATACGTCTTCCTAAGTGTACTACCACACTTTGAGCAATCTGAACCTATTTTATTTGCTCGCTTGGCTTCGTGAAAAATAAAATGCAATCCAGCCTGAGATATGTTGCCA